GAACATGCTGATTTTACACTGTTTTCAATGGGGCTTGAATTAGTGGACTGTACCCCCTCGGGGAGGATTATGGAGACGCTTGGGTCTAGCCTTTAGTCCAGGCGCGTTTGACGGCCATATAGACTTGAATGAAGTCGGACTTACGTTGCTCTTCCCCAGTCAGCCCTTCCGCCTGTACTCTGTATCCAAAGCATAAACAAAGACGTGACAGGCATCTCGACTTGAGTCAAGTCTAACATCCATCTCGAAAGGCGCCCTTGTCGCCATATGTGGTTCCCAGGCGCGCCTTGATTAAAGACTAGCAGAAATCTGCAACGGACATGACGGACCTTTGAGAAACGTGTTTGCTTCGTGCACGTAACTCAGGCTCAGTAGGTAAGGTTCCCACAATATTCACACGTGACTTTTTTTCCCAAATCCTCATCTGATCATTTTATTGAAATTATTAGAAGAAATTTAAGGGGAGATTTTACTCAGTTCAACAATTCACTACCATAAATGATCAAAGCATGGAGCTAGCTGTCGAAAACGGGTGTCGGTCACTTCGCCCCATTTCCACTTCGCCCCATTTCCACTTCGCCCCTACTAGCCCCACTAGTACTAGTGTGGTACGGACTCTCACTCCCGATCCATCCTTAGCCACACATCGTAATTTCATTATGACTGACGTCCAGAATATAAGACATGTTTACAAACTGACCAAAAATTTGGTTTAGATTTGTTCTTATTCTTGGTTTACAAATGTACATGTACCTTGCTGAAGAACGCATTTACAAGTTCTCTGTGAGTGTGACCCTACATGTATCTTTCCTTCTGGGGGGTTAAGGAATTTCAGAATGATCCACAAATTACAAAATTGATGAAAATACACTGAGCGACAACGTTACTTTAGCAGACGTAATTCATCTGTGCTCGAGTTGCAAAATGCACGCACGAACAGGAATCCAAGCTGTGTGCACTCACTACGCATGTGCAATTTGAAGGTCTGTTGCACGCCAGTGTAAAATCACCTTTGCAGTATTTGCGATAAGGCTTATGCCACAACAATTTGAACTGACAACTGTAACGTGCATGACCGTATAGTAACCAGGTCCCTAATTTCATCTAATCCCTAATTTGTCCCTAATGTGGACATCCGGGAGTTTTGCAAAATGGTGTGTAGGCTTGTGCGGTAATCCCGGTTCCGAGTGGAACTGCAGTTCCACAAAAAAATTGGAATTGGCGGCTCTGGTTTTGTGAAGATCTGAGTACCTACCATTGGCGGTTCCACATTCAAAGAGCCGACTCCAAACATCAAATCCAAGTCCCAGTCACGCCTTAGCACCTGTGACTACTCCAAACATCCAATTCGAGTCACCGCCACTCCCGCATATATGTACGTGTATAGTATGCTGTACATTTAGCAGGGCACCCTTCCACACAAGGGAAAATGAGTACGCTAATGAACTGTAAAATACCCTTGTTTCATGGTACCAAACCACATTAGTTATTGCATGCGTGGTGCAGCGGAGCTTTGACGGCTGGAAGCCATGAAGCTTGAAGACTGTTTTACATGTGGCTGTGACTTCAACATTGGTGAGTTTTGCCTGGTACTTGCAAGTGACGTGTTGTATTACATGAATGACACCAGGCAAAATCGTCGTGTGGTTAAGAAATAGCCTAGCCATTGCCCAAAGTCATGCACCTGCGAGGGTCTCAGTTCTCAACTTCTCACTTCAGAGCTGGTTCCATGCATGGAACTGGGCAGTGGCATAGCTTACAAGATAGTGGACATATCAGAGTTTTTGATGCACTCACTGTGGAGGTATGACAAATTTATGCATGGTCCATGGCCATTTACGATAC